AGGTACCTAGTTATGTATTGTTCATTAGTCATTACTTTGACTTACCTCTATGTTAATTGTTAATGCAAACTTTTCTGTTGGTATGTGAACTGTGAACAATCTTCATGTCACTCAATTCTCTCAAGTTGTGACTGTCATGAGCCTCCTTTATTTTGTATTCTGTATAATGTAACTGGATGCCTTTACTAATATGGTCTTTGTATAAGATTGTTTGTTTCTAACCATACTTTGGTATTCATAACTTCTTATGAAAGAAAGTTGTTAACATTTTGAGCACCTATGAGCTATGATCCCAATGGATCTCACGACAAAATTGGGGAGCCAGATCTATCATCCGAGTGGATCTAGCGACAAAATTGAAGGGTCAGATCTATGATCCCAGTAGATCTCTCGACAAAATTGAGGGTTTGGATCTATGATCTGAATGGATCTCGGATCGGGATCCATGGGATCGGATCTCAGATCCATTTTTCCGGATCCAAGCACATGTCTGATTACGGCTATAGTTCGTTTTTTTTTTTCAAAAGGACGCTGGCTCAAAGTTCAATATCGAAGCTCTCACGTGAGTTTTGGCAGCTTCAGTGTCTGGCCAAGAATTTCTTACCGAAAAAATAATCGATTTCAAATTTTGCACGGTAAGTAGCTGGAAATTGTTTCTTAAAAATGAACATACTATTATGACGTCACTGGTGGCAGCAGGCACCCAAATGTCCGTGCAGTGGGACAAGTGTCAACGAATTTGGGTGAAACTTTAGTTTTTCACTGTTGCCGAGCTTATAATCGAGTGAGCGGTTCCGTCCATGATAGTCATAAGTTACATTGCAATACATGTTCGACAGCATGACGTCACCGCTGTTCTCATATCTGGTTCCAAAACGCACGTATGGAAATTATCGGGAAGAAATCACATGTTAAAATTAGTCGACGTTCGATTTTCTCAGGTTCAGTTTTTGCTCGTTTTGCTCGCTAAAACACGTGCTTGTTCGAAAAACATACTTGGAGCCAGCGTCCTTTTGAAAAAAAAAAACGAACTATAGTTTTGATCTCACAAGCTGTTAAAATCAGAACATATTTTTCTTTCCACCCCACCCTCCCTACTATACGCTCAGTGTATAGTAGGTAGCGACACTGAGCGATTTGTTTACAGCCAGTTTCGATCCCGATGACGCAAATGTGTCGTCACGAGACAAAACAAGATGGCCACCTCTAATGAGAACCAAGTGGAATAAGTTTCCGGATGTAGACAGCACTGACGTCACCGGGATCGAAACCAATGACATTAGTACTGGACCTATGGCGAAGCAAAGTAGTGACACCCCTCTGGTATAATTCAAGCCATGCATTACAAAATTCACGATGCAGAGCAATGCTAATCAAGCAAAGAAAATGAATTTAGGTGCAGCTGTATCTGAATGTTCTATACTTCTAGATTTCGCAGCCAGGAACAGTCGCTTACAAACATCTTGTAAGTTATGAAAATAATGTAAAAATTGTGCTGTGTGCTTTTACCACAACTTTATAATTATCAACTGGTTGTGCTTTGATGTTGATGTAAGGTCTGTTTGGAACACAACTAAATGGTGCTGATGGTGCGAAAAGTAATGTCTGATCTTTACATCAATGACTGACGTTGATCGCTACTGGCTGATTTCAGGTTATCAAATGTGATTGTAGCACAACTTGTAAAAGTGGCACAAACCTTGTTATTTTGAACACCTGATGTGATGCATAACACTGATGGCTGATGTTGAGTTTATTGGCAAATGGTGTTGGCATCAGTAGTCTGTGTTTGAGTGGGGCTGCCTAAAGAACTGGTGTGTGACCATTTTGAATTTTGAAATATATTTTTGTGATAAGCCTGAGTGTTTTTGCAGTTTATATAGCCTTGGTTTGGAGCTTTTGGGCTTTGCCATCTGGCACGGATAGGGACTGACACAAGTTAGGGACGCTTTTAAGTAACCCGCGCACCATGGGACGGATGCCCCTAAGAATGCCCACTTAATCAAAAAAATAAAGTTTTGTTTTCTGATTTCTAAAGGTGGTTTCCAGTGTAAAATTGACCAGCGGACCCAAATATGGCAACGATTTTAACTCTAGCAGTGCCCTTTTCGATTAAAGGGACCGTCTCACCTTCAAAAAAGTTAATGAATTGGCATGAAAGTGATGTCGCTCGTTTCAGAAAGAGCAAAAACGAATATCTACCAAATTTCATCGAAAAATATTCACCGGTTTTCAAGATATTAGACTTTTACTTTTGTTTACTTTTTGGGATCTCCGCTGTTCCTAGCGACTTTATTTTGAAAGTGCGGCATTTGTTGCGCGCAAAGCAGCATATACCACCGCGTGCTACAAAACGTTTTAGTCAAACATTTAAAAATCGTTAGATATTGCGCGGACGTCACACATTCAGAGGGGTATTCCTATGCATTAGCCCCTCTGAATCAAAATGCTGCAATTTTGAAATTCAATATTTCCGATTTAAGGCATTTCTCAATGTTTTGAGTGCCGAAACCGGTAATTGTGAGCCAGGGACCCCATTTTGGCTATCTCAACTCAAATCTAATGTTAAGGTGGGAGGGTCCCTTTAATTTGACTTCAAACACAGGCTACGTCCCACCCGCTATCGACGCGAGTCGGACTGCTGAATCTGGTATGGTATTTTGAGATTGTATAAAGGCATGAAGCTGGAATGGGAGTCAGAAAATATGCATACCATTATGATGCTTGGTTAGTGGGCTTGCAGACGGACCACTTTTGAATTGATTGTATTGTACTCATGACAACTTTTTGGCGCAATTAACACGTGACGTCAAAATATGGCCGCTAACATTAAAAGACAAAGCTTAAGTTAGCTCTACGAAAAAAGTTCCATCGAGTTCCGTTAAGTTTCTGCCATCGTTAATGTCGTTAGCACTTAGCATGTTGTTAAATTGTCCTGAGATTTTCAGCTGCGGATTGCTGCGGTTTTCGGAGATATGAAAAATACATCTTGGATCTATGATCTCATATGATCTGACGATAAATTAAGAACATGGATCTATGATCTGAGTGGATCCCACCATGCACCACATTTGAAATCATGTTTTAAAGGGTTTCTATGTCAATAAGTGACACAAAACTATGGATAATTACGTGAGATCACATAAAATCACTAAAACAGAACGTTTGTGAGTTGAAACAAGTGCTTTTTGGGATATATGTGTTGACAAAAAATAAGAGAGGATCTATGATCTCACTGGATCTTAAGCAAAAAATGAGACTCGGATCTGTGATCCCTACGGATCTCTTGATAAATTATAGAGCTGGATCTATGACCCCGTCGGATCCGAGATCAGGATCCGTGGGATCAGATCCCAGATCCATTTTCTCGGATCCATGCACATATCTGCCTGTGACCCTTGGTGACCTGACCTGTGACCTCACCTGGTATTGTCAGTGACCACTTATAGGAACATATGTACTAGGCAACTAGGCAACTAGCGATAGGGCAACTAGGCCCTATCGCTGATTCTCGACAAAATGCGTTTTCTTCGGTGTTTTAGCATATGCCGGAGTATGTCTTTAGCATTAGCGCGAGCGTGCGGTAAAAGCTTTTTAGATTAAACCGCACAATGTTGAAGGCTATTGAGCAAAGGTTTCGGCCCATGGGCAAAACATTTTATCAGCGAACTTTTGAAGCATTTCCTGAGACGGAGGAAGGCGCTGGAAAAGAGCTTAACTGATAGAAATCTAACGTGAACTTACGTGTTGCATTTGGTCGCTTTGAACTATTGAACAGATTGTAAATGTTGGTTTTCAATAAGATATTGTTTTAAATCCTAATGCACAGACATATTAATTAATCACCTACATTTATGGCGTCCATTTCATGTCTTTTACAACTGCAATGAATTGACAAAAAACGCATTTCACATTGATCAGTAAAAACTTTATTCATACTGACATGGGTAAAAAACCAAGCGCTCACTTCACAGGATGGTATACCTTCCACTCTTCTCTAATATTGAAAACGAACGTTACTCTAGCTTCTCATATGACATAGATTGAAATAGATGTTCTTGGTTTGATATGAATCCAACTCAGAGCCAGACACAAGGATGGAACACAGTGATCTTGAGTCGGCTTGGTTTATTATCTTGGTCAGGGAATATGTACATTTTTTAGTTCTTGATATTCGTTCTTGGTTTTTTCACTTCTTTCAAGCATGTACAATTGTTAAAGAAGCTTAAATATGGAAATTAAACGGCATATGCTAAAATAAATATCACACTTGGGCCGGAATGTTTCATTCAGGACCTCGGGCTTTGTTGAATTTTCCGCCCTCGACCTTCGGTCTCGTGCGGAAAACTCAACAAATCCCTCGGTCCTGAATGAAACATTTTACCGGCCCCGTGTGATATTATATAATAGCGCATTCCCTAGATGACCCGTGAACGGTGAAACATGTCATCTTTGACCTGACCTGTGACGTCATCGGTGACCCCGAGGTCAATGAAATTTGGTTTCCTTCGACAAATATGACAGGCCTTTCGAACGCCGTTTGAATTTTGCGGATCCGTCAAGTAGTTTCGGAGATACGGGGTGGGGGCAAAAAATAGCCCCCCCACCCCCCACCAGGTCGCGTTATAAACAGACCCCACCGCGCGGGTTAAGGATTGTAGGGAATCTAACAAAAACTGTTTTCACTAGGGTGGGTACCTCAGATAAAAAAAAAACACACTTCAAAAGGCGCAAATAGAAGACTATTTAATGTACAAGATAACATCTCGCTTTCTTCCGTATCTGGCCATGTATCTTCATAAACCCCTCTCAAATATAGTCAATTCAACCTTAAAGTTTATGGATTTAGTAGTATTTTCATATCCAACTAGATTTTGGTTATCACCTCTGTCGACCGGCGGCCGGTGCAAACCAGCTTCTTTCGCTTCTAGGCCTTTTGGCTAACATCAAAGTGCAAACCAGATGCATGCTGACTGGCTGACGATTGGTCTCTGTCGCAGGTGGCTGCATTCTTGGCATTCCTCTGCACCTCAACTCACGCCTGCGGACCCACACGGGAGGACGGCCAAACGGCTGCTCCCTCTGCCCGGCACGGTTTGCAAGTCGAGGTCATCTTACCAGACACATGCGGACCCACACGGGGGAACGGCCACACGGCTGCTCCCTCTGCCCGGCACGGTTCGCAGATCGGTCAAGGCTTACCTCACACATGCGAACCCACACGGGAGAACGGCCACACGGCTGCTCCTCCTGCGAGGCACGGTTTGCAAGTGGAAGTGATCTTACCAGACACATGCGGACCCACACGGGGGAACGGCCATACGGCTGCTCCCTCTGCCCGGCACGGTTCGCAGATCGGGCAAACCTTACCTCACACATGCGAACCCACACGGGAGAACGGCCACACGGCTGCTCCTCCTGCGAGGCACGGTTTGCAAGTAGAAGTGATCTTACCAGACACATGCGAACCCACACGGGAGAACGGCCACACGGCTGCTCCTCCTGCGAGGCACGGTTCGCAGTTCGGGCAAACCTTACCTCACACATGCGAACCCACACGGGAGAACGGCCACCCGGCTGCTCCTCCTGCGAGGCACGGTTTGCAAGTAGAAGTGATCTTACCAGACACATGCGAACCCACACGGGAGAACGGCCACACGGCTGCTCCTCCTGCGAGGCACGGTTCGCAGATCAGGCAAACCTTACCTCACACATGCGAACCCACACGGGAGAACGGCCACACGGCTGCTCCTCCTGCGAGGCACGGTTTGCAAGTAGAAGTGATCTTACCAGACACATGCGAACCCACACGGGAGAACGGCCACACGGCTGCTCCTCCTGCGAGGCACGGTTCGCAGATCGGGCAAACCTTACCTCACACATGCTAACCCACACGGGAGAACGGCCACACGGCTGCTCCCTTTGCCCGGCACGGTTTGCAAGTCGAGGTCATCTTACCAGACACATGCGGACCCACACGGGGGAACGGCCATACGGCTGCTCCTCCTGCGAGGCACGGTTTGCAAGTGGAAATGAATTTACCAGACACATGCGGACCCACACGGGAGAACGACCATACGGCTGCTCCCTCTGCCCGATACGGTTCGCAGATCGGACAAACCTTACCTCACACATGCGAACCCACACGGGAGAACGGCCACACGGCTGCTCCTCCTGCGAGGCACGGTTTGCAAGAAGAAGTGATCTTACCAGACACATGCGAACCCACACGGGAGAACGGCCACACGGCTGCTCCTCCTGCGAGGCACGGTTTGCAGATCGGGCAGACCTTACCTCACACATGCGAACACACACGGGAGGACGGCCACACGGCTGCTCCCTTTGCCCGGCACGGTTCGCAGATCGGGCAAACCTTACCTCACACATGCGGACCAACACGGGGGAACGGCCACACGGCTGCTCCCTTTGCCCGGCACGGTTTGCAAGTCGAGGTCATCTTACCAGACACATGCGGACCCACACGGGGGAACGGCCATACGGCTGCTCCTCCTGCGAGGCACGGTTTGCAAGTGGAAGTGATCTTACCAGACACATCCGGACCCACACGGGAGAACGGCCATACGGCTGCTCCCTCTGCCCGATACGGTTCGCAGATCGGGCAAACCTTACCTCACACATGCGAACCCACACGGGAGAGCGGCCACACGGCTGTCCCCTCTGTCCGGCACGGTTTGCAAGTCGGTCAAGCCTTACCACACACATGCGGACCCACACGGGAGAGCGGCCGTACGGCTGCTCCTCCTGCGAGGCACGGTTTGCAAGTCGATGTGATCTTACCAGACACCTGCGGACTCACACCGGGGAGCGGCGTTAAGGTCGTGTCCGGCTTATTTCACACTTTGGCGGGACATAGCACTTCACATCACCGTCCGCCATAGGGACCGAACACAGTGTTCAGTATGGTAGTTCGGTAAATACATTACTGACGCCCTTTCCATGGGCATCACTGATCCTGATCAGCAAATTTCAATCGTAATATATTTCTCGAACTTTTCGTTAGAGGGTAAAATTTAAAGTGGTTGGAGCTTATATATCAGATTAATTTAATATCAGTAATATCAGTTAATTTCTTATTTTTAATTTCATACAGTGTCTAACTTTACTGGATTACCTAATCCGTATTTATTGATCCGGATCAGTGATTCCCATGGGAACGGGGTCGTTATGTTGTCCTTTGTAGAGAAATTTGAAAGATATACAACTAACTTGATCGTGAAACGGATATGTTTACCTTGAAAAAGTGAAGTGGATGATACCAACACTTAAATATAGTCGATAATACCTGAATGAGTGTCTGCATGCCATTAATTGGCCGAATGTTGATGAAAACAGCGAAAAACTATATTCAAAATGATGACGTAATTTAGGCTAGTGACGTCATATACAACACAAAGCCACCTTGTGGGAATGTAGTGAACTACAAGTCGCTTCAAGTTATGGTGAATCCTGTGTGTTACAAACATTACGCGGAAGTTTCGATAATTGCGCAAGCGTTTATGGCTATTTCTACGCATTCCTTTCGTTGTAACATTTTTCTGGCAATTTTATTTTAATTTTGATTTTGAAACGAACCGAAGTTCGTCCTAGGTATGGCTCAAGAAGGGTTTGGCAATGAAACTTCAATGTGATAGATCCATGAAGAATATTGGATGGAACAGTGGTGAATCAAATTTAAAATTATCAATTTGAATTCGGCGGAGAGCCGAACCTTTTGAATATCTAATTCAAGCAAGGCTGGAAAGAAAATAGGTGGAAAGAACAGGTTGGAAAGAAAAATATGTTCTGATTTTAACAGCCCGTGACATCACAGCGAGTAGTAATATCTCAAAATGAATTAGTGCATTTGAATCACTTTTTCTGGAAGTTTTAAACCTGGTGTCATTCACACTCTTTCTCGCTCTTGGGCGTCCCCCACAGCACGTGTTCTGAGTAAACTCTTTTTTCGCAGAATTAGAGATATGTGTACCGCGCAAACTCCGAGATGAATTCAGCGCACAAATCGGGTGAATTCTACGCGCGACCTTCCAAATCGTCTTCATCACGCTCGGGAGACTCTGGGTTCATGGCTGGCACCTGTGATTTCATTAAACCCCACAGATAAAACTACCAGGAACCAGGGGCGTCGAGCCTGAGAAGAGGGCTGGCCATGAAATCCGGCTTTTTTGCTGGTCACGTGCCCTGTAAAGTGTTCCTCCGGCCAGGCCAGGAGAGTTCCGCTCTTTATGTGCTAGGTGGAGCCCCGTCTTTTTTGGAAACAATGTACTCAGTTACAACATTCAGAGCTGCCACTATCTAACGCCAGAGCCTAGTCTCCAACACCTGAGCGTAGCGTTCCTTGTTGACGGTGGCCGTGATGCCTTTCGATGTTTCGAAGAAAAACGGTCCGATGAGACAGGCGGTGGACATAACACATCATTACGTCAATGTGAGATTGTGCAGCGGGCTCTATAGCGTTGTGTCCAAAGGGAATGAAGCCCAAACTTGACAGTTCTGGGCTGATTTTACCGCTCATTCGGACTGTTTTTCTTCGAAACATCGAAAGACATCACGGCCACCGTCAACAAGGAACGCTACGCTCGGGTGCTGTAGAGGCTCTGGCGTTAGATAGTGGCAGATCTGAATGTTGTAACTGAGTACATTGTTTCCAAAAAAGACGGGGCTCCACCTAGCACATAAAGAGCGGACCTCTCCTGGTTGGAGGAGGGCACGTGAGCGTGACCAGTAAAAAAGCCGAGATTTCATGGCCAGCCCCTCTTCTCAGGCCACGGTTCGTCGGAAGGTCATCTCAGGCTCAAAAGAAACGATATATACCATTCGAAAGCTGACGGTGAGCTGAATCCAAAAATGTAATTTTTATCAAAATCGATCGATGGCCTTTTTTGAAAATCGCGTTGTTGTAAAAACTTTATAATTTTTTATTCAACGGGCTGTCCCGGACATTCTTGAAAACATAAACATGTATTTTTGAGTTCCAGTGAAAGCTGAACGCCAAAAGAACAATATTTAGCGAAGCAATATTTCCTAACATTAACCCTCGCACGACCAGGCCATTTCTCATAACACGAACGACCAGGGGGGGGGGGTTGTTACGACCCCCCCTGGCGTTTCGAAACGGAAGGTCGTAGAGCTTAGCGGAAAAAACCAACGGATTGCTCTCAACGAGATCTCGCGATTGTTGGTATATTTTTTGGTCCTAGGTCAACATTTGACCTACTTATGACCGGTCAAAGGTCAAATTTTCCGAAAAAATCAAACTTTTTCAACTTTCCGCGGCGATTGCGGCAAAACGGTGGGAGATATCGACTTGAAACCTTCACTATCGTGTTCCTTGATCAATTCTCTATCGTTTGGTATGTATTTCGTTTCCCTAGCTCTAAAAATGGCGCGTTGGGAGCGCCGGAAGTCGGCAAGGTCACAGTCGGCGGCAGAAATTCGAAAAATCAAAATTTAAATTTTTGAAATCTGATTGTATTTTTGGATTTGGGAGGTCCATTTGCTCCCTATAGAAGCTAATATTGCTGCATATTCCCATTGAGGTGACAATAATTAGCAAAATAGTGGTTCGGGCGCTTTTCAAAAATAGTACCGGACGCTGTTCCTCTTGTGACGTCATAGCTCCGTGACCTGACCTGACCCGGTCAATTTTCTTGCACCACACGATAGCCAATGCTTGCCCCAACATGCATGGGAAGTTTCATCATGATCCATCGAACAATGTGGGTATCACCGGCAGAAAACCTAGGGATTCGGCGCACACGTTTGGTAACTGTCGGCCGGAGGCTGTACCTCTTATGACGTCATAACTCCGTGACCTGACATGACCCGATCAATTTTTTTTTCGGGAAAAGATGCGCAAAGGTTGCCCCAGAGGGTATTGAAAATTTCAGCCCGCTACGACAAGCCGTTTAGCGTGCACTTCGAAAAAACCTCAGGGGGGGGGGTGATACAACCCCCCCCCCCTAGGCGTTCTAGGGTTAACATGCGTCTCCCACAGCCGACAATAAGGCGCAATCATACAGCTCAGTGTCACGATGGACCAAAGTCGGCCACACAGAAGCGTGAAATGACCCTTATCGACTCGCAGACCCGGCGCTCTCGGCCCGCCTGACCGGCCACGGCAAGGAGGTTTGGCTGTCGTTCTACTAAACGGGGGTCATATTTGTTAGTTTAACGATTCAAGTCGGTACTTGAGTTATTCAGGATACATGAGCAGAAGATTCATCGCTCTGTCATCTTCACATCATGCATTAATTTGCATTTGTTCATGTCTACTTTGCTCAATTGAGCTTGGTATCATGCCCATATAAGGAAAATTGGCCGCGCTGAAATGTCAGAGGTTGCACCGGCCTCAGCTCGGGTGGAGTGGGGGTAGCGCCCGGTGGGGCAGGGTAACCTTTGACCGGTCGCACGGCCGAGCAGCTGTCACCAGTACAGCCTCTGACAGTGAAACCCCGCTCACTTCACCTGCGCGGGCACTGAGCGCAGCTGGATGGAACAAAACATGTATAAGAAAAATGTAAATTGAAGCATGTTGTAAATCAAGCAGAACAATGAATTTTCTTCACAGGTATCCTGAATAACTTTAATAGTGATGTGGACAGTTAAACTGACAAATATGACATTTATTTAGTAGAGCGAGAGCCGAACGTTCTTTCCGTGGCTGGTCAGGCGGGCCGAGAGCGCCGGGTCTGCAAGTCGATAAGGGTCATCTCACGCTTCTGTGTGGCCGACTTTGGTCCATCGTGACACTGAGCTGTGTGATTGCGCCTTATTGTCGGCTGTGGGAGACGCATATTCATGTTAGGAAATATTGCTTCGCTAAATATTGTTCTTTTGGCGTTCAGCTTTCACTGGAACTCGAAAAAACGTTTTTACAAAAACGCAATTTTCAAAAAAGGCCATCGATCGATTTTGATAAAAATTACATTTTTGGATTCAGCTCACCGTCAGCTTTCGAATGGTATATACCGTTTCTTTTGAGCCTGAGATGACCTTCCGACGAACCGTGAGGCCCGACGCCCCTGGTTTTTTATCTGTGGGGTTTAATGAAATCGCAGGTGCTAGCCATTAGCCCAGAGAGTCTCCCGAACCTGATGAAGACGACTTGGTAGGTCGCACGTAGAATTAACCCGATTTGTGCGCTGAAATCATCTCGGAGGTTGCGCGGTACACATAGCTCTAGATTTTGCGAAAAAGGGGTCACTCAGAACACGTGCTGTGGGGGACGCGCAGGAGCGAGAAAGAGTGTGAATGACACCAGGTATAAAACTTCCAGAAAAAAATGATTCAAATGCACTAATTCATTGTGAGATATTACGGCTAGTTTTGATCTCGAACATATTTTTCTTTCCACCCCACCCTCCCTACTACACGCTCAGTGTATAGTAGGTAGCGACACTGAGCGATTTGTTTACAGCCAGTTTCGATCCCGATGACGCAAATGTGTCGTCACGAGACAAAACAAGATGGCCATCTCTAATGAGAACCAAGTGGAATAAGGTTCCGGATGTAGACAGCACTGACGTCACCGGGATCGAAACCAATGACATTAGTACTAGACCTATGGCGAAGCAAAGTAGTGACACCCCTCTGAATTCAAGCCATGCATTACAAAATTCACGATGCAGAACAATGCTAATCAAGCAAAGAAAATGAATTTAGGTGCAGCTGTATCTGAATGTTCCATACTTCTAGATTTCGGAGCCAGGAACAGTCGCTTACAAACATCTTGTAGGTTATCAAAATAATGTAAAAATTGTGCTGTGTGCTTTCAGCACAACTTTATAATTATCAACTGGTTGTGCTTTGATGTTGATGTAAGGTCTGTTTGGAACACAACTAAATGGTGCTGATGGTGCGAAAAGTAACGTCTGATCTTTACATCAATGACTGACGTTGATCGCTACTGGCTGATTTCAGGTTATCAAATGTGATTGTAGCACAACTTGTAAAAGTGGCACAAACCTTGTTATTTTGAACACCTGATGTGATGCATAACACTGATGGCTGATGTTGAGTTTATTGGCAAATGGTGTTGGCATCAGTAGTCTGTGTTTGAGTGGGGCTGCCTGAAGAACTGGTGTGTGACCAACCTTTGGGTGTTTTGAATTTTGAAATATATTTTTGTGATAAGCCTGAGTGTTTTTGCAGTTTATATAGCCTTGGTTTGGAGCTTTTGGGCTTTGCCATCCGGCACGGATAGGGACTGACACAAGTTTAGGGACGCTTTTCAGTTACCCGCGCACCATGGGACGGATGCCCCTAAGAATGCCCACTTAATCAAAAAAATAAAGTTTTGTTTTCTGATTTCCAAAGGTGGTTTCCAGTGTAAAATTGACCAGCGGACCCAAATATGGCAACGTTTTTAACCCTAGCAGTGCCCTTTTCGATTAATTTGACTTCAAACACAGGCTACGTCCCACCCGCTATGGACGCGAGTCGGACTGCTGAATCTGGTATGGTATTTTGAGATTGTATAAAGGCATGAAGCTGGAATGGGAGTCAGAAAATATGCATACCATTATGATGCTTGGTTAGTGGGCATGCAGACGGACCACTTTTGAATTGATTGTATTGTACTTATGGCAACTTTTTGGCGCAATTAACACGTGACGTCAAAATATGGTCGCTAACATTAAAAGACAAAGCTTAACCCTCGCCCCGTTGGGGGGGGCCATTTTGGCCCCCCCCTGTGGTTTTTCCTGAATAGCAAGAAAACGGCGGCGCGCAGCGCCGCCAAATTTTCAGTACCTTCCCGGGCATCAATTTGACACCTTCACACCAAATTTCAAGTCTTAGGTCACCTTAGGTCAGGAGTTATTGAGGTCAAACTGAGGTCATGTTCGAGCAAAAATGAGCAAAAAACATGCAATCTTGAAACGCTCACCAAATCTACAGTTATCAAGCAATTTCAAAGTTCTTTATATGGTCTAGTAGACAAAAAGCGGCGCTACAAAACTGCTATCTCGGATTTTCAAAATGTTTGGTTTTTGACCAAAAAAAAAATCAAAAAATTGATTTTTTTAGAAAAACTTTGAAAAAATCCAAAATTTTTCCGAATTTCGAAAAAAACCGGAATATATGTGATAGTCCCAGCGCTCTTCTATATACATACCAAATTTCAGATCGATATCTCGTTTTTTGGCCAAGTTATAGCCAAAAAACTGCTCAAAAATGATGACGTCAAATTTTTGAACTCAATTTTTAGCAATTCTAGACCACGTACGGCAAAACAAAGACCACCATTGAACTCCCCGTGACGAGCTGCATCGATTCGATACCCATTTTATGCAAAAATATTAACTTTGAAATTTGACCTAATTTGACCTGACCTTGACCTGACCTTGACCTGACCTTGACCAAAACGTGATCTAAGCTGGCCCCAAAGGCTGCCTGACCCATATGATCGCATTTGTCATGTAAAATGGACCATAAAACATGTATCACACGACACTTTCATATTGTGACCCCCCCG